CAACTCCCATCTTTTTGCGCGCTTTGACAATCAGCCGGTTTAATATTTATTTTGTTTCGTCCAAATTCGGGTTTTCATGCAGAAACATAAAACTTAATTACATTGCTGATAATTTTAAAGCAAAATATATAAAATCCACAGCAACTTTTACGGGTAAAACAGCGGTACAAAATTGCTTTCTTGGCGTTCATTGTGGCATACCTTTTGTGTCTGGCGCGTTNTTTAAACTTCTTCTTGCTGGTATTTTCCCTCTTCGTTGTAAAAGCTTCCTTCTTGAAACATGGTCACCTTATCAGCTGACAGCATTCAAACCGCTCGATACCGCTCAAGGCGCATCAACTACAGGTGATAGCGATAGAAGCTATGCTTCTTCTTATGAGCACGCTTGTGTCAAATTATCGTCTGTTTTGCTTTATTTACATATCCGCGTATACATACACATATACGTAAATATATACCCTGCAAACAAATGCTCCCGAAATCTTTAAGAGTTTCGGAAATTCGTTACGATTCTTTTATAGTAAACTTACGTTTTACTAGATTAATCTCTGATAGAAAAATATAAGGTATATTATTTTACTTTTAAACAAAAATTACGATAACTTTTAAAGTATGGTCATCATGGCCTTTTTTTGTCGTTGCTGTTGACCGCGGCGATAGAAATAAATCTATCGTCGCGAACAGTCGTCGAGCAAACTTCGTCGTTTGCTTTGGTTGTGCGCGTTCTCATATAAATCAGTGTGTTTTAATTATCTCGGCGAACATTCGCGACGAAAAATTGCCGTTCGCCGGTGTTGTACTTCTTTTTTTTTAATGCTTTTCGCTGCTTGACAGCACTCCTTCAATTGGCTAGACCCATTTCAGCTGAGGATCTCTACAACGCCATATGTCCAAACTCTTTGACAGTGTTGCCATACTTTTCCACTTCCATTCTCCATCGATGACCGGTGGAAGCAAGTGGTTTACAAACAAAAAATTAAAATAAATTCAATGCAAAAACATTTAGTACCTTTGCTCTACTGAAATATTTGTACTTTAACATCGTATACCTGTTTTACATATTAAATTGACTGGATTTTGTACTATGATTAAACTTCATTTATAAAAAATTTTTATTTTTTTTTTCCTTTCCTTCATTTATAGTTAGGTGTTGTGCTTCAGCTTTAATGTTTGCTCAATAGTGTTGCCAACTTTTCTTTTTCAAAAAGCACCAAAAACTTGGAAAAAAAACGTTTTACCACACTAAAAGCACCAAATGGTTTTGAATCAACTGATGCTTTTTTCAAACACGTTTTTATGAATTTAACAAAAACAAAAATTAACAATATTTGCAAGAATGCATACATAAATCAATAAATAAAACTTTTTCGCTCATAACGATTGAAAAGCCACATGCTATAATGACTCAAGCTTACGACGTAATACCGAAGTACTGCACATTAAAACTGATATATCTCAAGAAGAAAAAAATCTAATCCCAACAAACGAAAATCATGAGTAGAAATGAGCAAAAAAAAAGTTTGTTTTCATTATATTTATAACCTCAAATATCACCAAAAACCGTGATTTTGGCACTTTGAGGTTAGGATGTCTCAAAATTGTAGTGCTAGAGCAATTGTGCGGCCAGATTTGATTCCGCACCAAGGAACAATGGCCCGTAGTCATAGTCAAAATAAAGTCGACTTTAAAGTTAGTTGCAGCTTTTTTGACAGATATCCCATTGAAAATTATGTCAAGAAGCTGCAACTAACTTTAAAGTCGACTTTATTTTGACTATGGCTACGGGCCGATGTGTTTTACTCAGGTGGTACAAAAATAAAAATTTTTACAACTAATTAGAAAAGAAAAAAGGAATACTTACTCGCATATCTACTAGCATTTTCAACGCGAATAGAATTGAACAAGGTGAATTTGCAAGTTCAGCCTTTTATCAATCATGGTTGTATTTAAGTGCATTTAAATTTTGTAGATTTTTGTGAATTCAGTGCTGCTACAGCTTTAAATATTTAAAAATTATTTCAGGTTTTCACTATATCGGAGTAATTTGAGTTCAGAAAAAAAGCACTAAGAAAGGCACTACCCTGCAGTGAAAAATTATCAATTGTTAAAACTAATCAACTTATAGTTAGCTTTTTGGCGAGATTTCGATTAATACCTCACTTTTAATTAGCTATGACAAAACCAACTTAAAGTGAATTGTAAAGTCGTGCAGGAGTCATGCAGACGCAATCGGGAGTTGGTTTTCTTTACAAGTTTCTATTAAATATCCTCATACAAAAATTACTTTCAATACACTTTTTTTCTGAACTTCGCAGATTCTTTTTCATATTCAGGACAAATAAAAGGAAGATCGAAATTTTATACTATCATTTTGAAGTTATGTCTGACGGTGTTCGAATATGGGGCCACCCAGAGCAGAATATGTAAACAAATATGAAATGTAATAAAATAAAGTAAATAAATAAGTAAATAAAAAAGTAAAAAAACAAAAAAATATTTTGTTTTTCTTATTGATATTTTATGTCCAAAAGTAGTTAGTTACAAGTTAGTTGACATGTAATGCAGAGGTATCCAGGTCTGACTTTTTTGCGGCCATCGCCCCACAAAAGTAGTTAGCTTTTTTCGAACAAAATACACAGTTAATAGTTAGCACTAGTGTTCGCGTAAACAGACTAAAGCTAGGTATAAGCTAACGTCCCTCCCTGCAGGGTAGGCACCAAATATTTTTTTTTGGCGTTTTAATTTTCAAAAAGCACTAAATCTAGTGCTTAAAGCATAAAGTTGGCAGCTATGTTGCTCAAGTATCGGATGCGATTTTTAGATGATTGTAATATATTATCGATAGAACAGTTTGATACCTATGTTAAAAGATTTGATTTGTTTTTCGTATTCCTAAAATAAGCTAGTTTACGTATCTCTGACTGAAAAATGGCAACATATTATTTCGTTATTATAGGGCACAACGACAATCCTATATTCGAAATGGAGTTTACGACAGTTAATAAGGAAATGCGTGTAAGTAATGCAGAAGTAAAGTATCTTGGTGAATGATGTATATACTTGGACAAATTTTTACAGAAAGAAGACAGTCGACATTTAAGTCAATTTATTGCTCATGCTGCGTTAGATCTAGTGGATGAGCACAAGTGGAGAACAGCCAATATGCAACTCAAATCTATCGACAGATTCAATCAGTGGTCCGTGTCAGCATATGTAACCGCAAGCCAGATTCGGTTCATCATCGTACACGACAACAAAAATGATGACGGCATAAAGAACTTCTTTAATGAAATGCACGAAACCTATATTAAGCATTCCATGAACCCATTTTATAAAATCAATACTCCTATAAAATCACCGATCTTCGAAAAGAAGGCGCAACTCTTCGGGAGAAAGTGTTTACTATCGTTGTAAATTTAATAGTAGATGGAAAATCCGATTTAAGGGAATTTTGTAGAATGCAGTTTTACTTCGGATAACACCTGTAGTATCTGTTAGTTGGAGGCTGGTACAAAAGGGAAGGGAGCGTTGTACCGCCCACCTATCCAGCTCGAAATAGAAGACCAAAGTATTCAGTCGTGCCTCTTCAAAATAAAGAAAATCGTTGATTTTGCTTACAAAATGCCACAAATATTTAAAGTACACCAAATAAAAGGACTTTTTTGCTTGGACCAAAAATGTTGTAACAGAATAGGTACAAATTCCCCAGAAAGTTTTTCGGGAATGATACCCCAGCATCATGCTGTCCTTGGCCAGATATCTGGATCGTTCCCTACCTTCATAGGTTCAACTCCGGCTACGCTTACCACAGTAGTTTTGCGCGAACATATTATGTTTGGTAATTCTCTAGTATAGGGTAACAACCCCTAAAAAAAAGGTCCGGAAAAGTCGGGAGGGGTACCAAACGACACGCTTCGGTCCCCTTATTAACAATCCGGAGGGGGAGGGCTAATATTATTAACCATTTAAAAGTTATAAACAAAAAACTTTTGTTGAATTTCGTTGTTTTGTATGGGCAATTACCCCGACAAAAATTCACTAAATCACCTGTTCTCACTTTTTAAACACTTAAAATATATAATTTAACTTAATTATTAAACAAAAACATAGTTTTATCAACCTAAGGTAGATTATTTTATTACTAAAAAGAAGTTGACAATCTTTTAGTCTGTTCCTTTGAACTTCGGACTAAAACCTGTGGAATTGTCAAACTACAATTTTACTCTCTTAAATGAGAGTAAAAGGAGAACAGATGCAGAAGTGCATAGGAACGCAAAAAGCACTTAGTCTGTTCCAATAGCAGTCCGGTTTACAGGATTTAGTCAGAACTTACAGGAAGTCGTTCCTATTGACATAAAACCTGNAGAAGTTACAGGATTTAGTCCGGAGTTTTTTTTCCTGTAAGTTCATGAAAAGTGTCAAACGATCAGCTGATTTGCATGTGCAAGCAAAAACAAACAGCGGTGAAAGCAAAATACCTTATATTTCAAAAAAAAAAGGAAGTAAACAACGAAATTTTTGAATATGTATAGATTTTAATAATTATT